TACCAGTTGCGTTGCTCCTGGGAGTATGGGTTCGAGTTACTTCTGGGGTGAGTTTTCAGTCGCATATAGTCCTGGGGACCATTCAGGCTTGTTTGCATTTGTGTTAATGACGTGTGCCCCAAAGAATGAGGTAATTTGATAAAATGCTATGCCTAAGATTACCATCCGAGTGCCGGCGAGGAAGTGGTTCAAATAGCTTCGGCTATCACTTCCTTTTGTCTGGTCGTGATGGTCAAGCGGATTAAGGCGTCCTGTAGATACCAGTTGCGTTGCTCCTGGGAGTATGGGTTCAAGTCACTTCTGTGGTGTGAGTTTTCAGTTATATATATATATATATATATATATATATATATATATATATATATATATATATATACACACTAGCTATACCCGGCCACACGTTGCTGAGACTCGTCATTGCATGTGCATTGCTGAGCCACAGCAACACTGTCCCCCTGTCTTCCCTACCATTCCCCCCTTCCACATCCCCTCGTCCTCCTAACCATTCCCCACTCCTCCATCAATTCATCTTTTACACTATTCCCCCCCTCCTCCGTCCCTTCGTCCTCCCCCACTATTCCCCAATCCCCCATCCACACCATTCCCCACTCCCCTGTCCCCTCGTCTTCCCCACTACACCCAACTCCTCTGTCCCTTTGTCCACCCCAACATCCCTCCTCCGCCGTCCCCTAGTCCTCCCTACCTTCTCCCACTAGACTGTCCCTTTGTCCTCCACACCATTCTCCATTTCCCTCTCCCCTCGTCCGCCTCACCATTTCACACTCCCCTGTCCTCTCATTCTCCCCACTATTACCCCATTCCGCGTCCTCTCGTCCTACCCACCATCCTCAACTTCCCTGTCCCCTTGTCCTTCCCATAATTTTCCACTCCTCCGTCCCCTCGTCCCTAACATCCTCCACTCCCCCGTCCCCTCGTCCTGCTTACCATAACCCCTACCCTGTCCCCTCGCCTTCCTCACTCTCGTCCCCTCGTCCTTCCCACCATTCCCTATTCCCGTCCTCTCGTCCTTCGCACCAATCCCCACTCCCTCCTCTGAATCACTTCCAAGTGATCTGATGAACCTATCAGAAAAATGGGAACATCCCATGATCTGATGTTCCCATCACATGAAAAAATAAAAAAATAAACTATACTCACAAAATGAACAGTATGGTAAACAACACAGTTCAATTCCAACGCAATGTCACACAAAATAATTAAATTAAAATGAAAATAAATCGAAATCTATGAAAATTAAATTTATCAATGCAATTTGAAACATTGAAATGGAATCATAACATATTTTGAATAGCATGTGTTGCTATTATGTGCAACAGATGGTGCTGTTTTTTTTATAAAAAAATCATGTTTTTACATGGCACAGGTGTGGCATCTATATAGTAGGTATATAAAAACATGCGCCAATTTGAATGGAACGTTGTGTCAAAATCTCAAAGTAATTGGTGAAGAACTTTCGGAGATTACAGCATGTGTTGCTCTTACGTCCAAACTATGGTGCTGTTTTTTAAAAAAAAAAATGTTTTTTCCTGTCACAGGTAAGGCATGTATACAGTAGATATATAAAAAACTCGCCTATTCGAATGCAACGTTGTGTCAAAATTTCAAAGCAGTCGGTAAAGAGGTTTTGAAGATTTCTCTCACATGAAAAACACATGAAAAATCAGTTTAAAAAAAAAAAAAAAATTCTGTCACAGACGTGACATCTATATATTATGTACGTAAAAACCCGCTCGGATGCGAATGAAACATTGTGTGAAAATGTCAAAGCAGTCGGTGAAGAAATATCGGAGATTAGCGATTTTGAACCAACGTACATTTTAATTTTTATTTATATAGATATATGCTGTTTTGGTTATAATGTATGCCCTATAACACCCAAGGGTAAGCAAATTTAATATCACTCTTTATGTCAATGTTATTTTAATCAGTTAATGCTTGTGATTGAATACATGTTGTAGTAGATTTTACTGTGTAATTAGTTGGCAGGTAAATTGAGACTGGTGAAGTTATGCCCAACCAGTTTTATGCACCTACTCCCAAAGCGATATGAAAAGACTCGAAAGCATTCAAAATGAAGCCATGACAATCATTTTTGGAGTTCCAAGAACTGCCAGATCGTTTAATCTACGAAAAAAGTTGTCCCTCCCAATGTTAATAGCAGAATTAAGGAACCGAATGCTAAGCTTGCAATTAGGATAACCAGATATCACATTACAATGATATTGCCAAGAAAAAACTGAGTTCTGTATTACTTACAGGAGGAAACAGGAGCAGCAAAATGGCAACCAAAAAGTTCAACATGATACCACGAGAAATGAGGCTCAAGTATCTTGAGGAAATTTATAAAGAAGCCGGAGATGAACTAGATCAAATCTACACTGATGGGTCATCTAACCCTGTCAGTGGTAGGGCTGGTGCAGCATACACTGTAATTAGGCATAATGCTTTTCAACGCAGAAGGAAGAAAAAGCAGGTATTGAGAACTATGCCTCTTCAATGCAAGCAGAGCTAACGCCATTGTTATGGCGTTAAGATTCCTTGAACGAAACACTAGTGGTGCAGTGATCTGCACTGATTCAAAAGCAGCGCTACAGAGCTGTAGCGAGTAATCATTATACTCGCTCCAGTCTCTCATTATCTTAATGGCATAACTAATTTCCACTAATTACAGAAGTTACAATCCTTTCCCCAATTACAGGTAATACTCTTTTCATCCTGTTGGAGGGAACTATGGTGTAGTCACCACATATAAGCAAGCGATATGAGAATAGCCAACAGTACAATTTCCACAGTCAAGAATGTAGCACTCGGCGTATGCAGTTCTAATCGACCCCAAGACGCTACAGCTTCGACACAGAACAGACAGCAGACTAGGAGCGCATCGAGCTACAACGCTCTCCCACACAGAGCTCCGCGACTCCGGCCTCACTCAACCCTGCTCTGCTCCAAGCTCCGTCTCAACGTCTACGACACTGCTGTATCCAGGACTACTAAATAAATATGAAACCCACTAAACACTGTGTATCTACTCTACTCAACAACGTAACATAAGCGTACATTACAAAGCCTTAGTAAAAATCGGGCAGAAAATCTTGCAATAGTCGCTGAAATCAAGATAGCTGTCAGGGGTACTAACAAACCAGGGAAGAGTCGTCAAGTTTCTGTGGATCCCCTCCCATGTTGGAATATGTGGAAATGAACGAGCAGATGTGCTGGCTGCTGAAGGCGCTCGAGGTGACAACACTGAATACTTCATACCCAAGACTCTTCTACAAATTAGAGGTATTGTCAGGCAACATCACCGTGACAAGGTAACTGAGGAAAGGAGGATAGAAGAACAAATCAGTGAATCTGTACGATGGTACAACATGCTTGCAGCTAAGAATCCCAATCATTATGGACGAAGAGGAGGTGGCAGCGGGAGAGAATCAGTAATAGTGAGAATCCTCTAGAATACAAGTATCCATGGAGATTCGGAATGGAAACAACAGTTGATCAGCGAAGTTGTAGAATCTGTGGTGAGAGTGACAGACACCGCCTTGACCACTATCTACGTGAATGTGAACACCTGAGAAACATTAGAAATATGTACAAATCCACAAGGACCGAGGATTCGAACCTACGTCTGAGAGCATCCCAGACACTGTCTTAATCGACTGAGCTACATGGTCAAAAGAGTTGAAATTAGAAGTTCTACTGAACTTACTTGGATCCTGCAGCCTCTCTGAGGCACAAACCAGGGTTTTACACAACTCCCCCATGCACTCGAGCTATGTCAATAGGCCGTTCTACTTCTTCGCCCTTACTTCTTTACACACATAAATCACAATAGCGTGATGCATCAAATGAACAAATCCACACGTCCTTGTGGATTTGTTCATTTGATGCATTACGCTATTGTGATTTCTGTGTGTAATTAGAAATATGTGTTGAGTAATAAGCTCCACATTGTTTGAGTTAGGGAAACACTATTTGTCAAATATTGATACTGTTCTTAAAAGATTCCCCCATTTTGCACCCGCATGGTAACGTAAGATTGTAAGGGTTGACAGATGTTAATATTCTTGTTTGAGGAGCTGTTCACTTGAGACAGTTAAGCAAGTCCTAGCTGTGTCTGGGTACAAGTGGCAGAATGAACTACCCAGCTGGTTTTCTTTCTACTGGGGAGTGCTGTACATGCTGTTATGGCGGTATGTCCACTCACAGGATGAGAGGCGCTGCCCAATAAACTCGCCCCTCGGGGCAAAATTTAAATAAAAAAAAATAACTAAAGTGGTTCGGGGCCAAGAGACCGTAGACCACGTGTGTGATGCTTGGTCCTGGCTTACATTAGCGACGCCGTTAACCATGTGACCGAATTGAGTCCTGCTTGGCTACCTACAACTTCTACTACTATAACAACTAGGCTGTGACATTTTAATTAACAAACATAACTAGTAGATTTGCATAATGTTGATTTAATAAATTTAAATATTCTAGACTTACATCTCATGGATTAATTTTCATGCAGTTGAAATTATAACTCGCAAGAGTGTGAAGGAATTTAATAATTGGTGTAAATTAATTCGATTGAGTCCGATCGCAAATGAATAATTAAGTAATTAATTAATTAATAAATCAAATTAATTAAGCATAAATTACCACTGGTAAGATTTCCCACATATGTTGTTATATGATACCTTGGCACGAGAGTGGTTGTCCTCGGTCTCTGGTGACAACAATGCTCTGGGCTTTATATATCTACAACGCAGATAAGAAGTGAAGAAGACAGGAGAGAGGCCACACATGGCGGGGGTCTCTTGGGAGACGAGACACTTGTCATGCAAGGCAAATGGAAGAGGTGTCAAAGAGGGAAGAGAGATATTGATACCTCACAAGACAGGTGAAAGAGGAAGTGTAACAGATTTGCAACAGAAGACAGATGAGAGATGTGTTATACATGACATGTGAGAGATGTCTCAGAGAATAGGTGTGCTTACCGCTGGGCCTGGTGTAGGCGGCGACGCGGGCGGGGATGGAGGAACACAGCTTACTGACGAAGGGGAGGTGGTCGCGCTGGACCACCAATGGCACTGTGGTGGGCGCCTGGCAGGCAACCACTTCCACCAAGTATAAGGAGTAGTGGTGAAGGTGGTGTAGGCGCACACGGAGCTCCCGGGTCATCCGCACTTGATGGAGCAGCGCTGAGCCTGTGCCAGGAATGGTGATTAGCGATCACTGCGTGGGGAAGGAATGTCTCCAACTGATATCATGCGACGACGGCCGAGTGTGGGGTGACGATGAACGACTGTGAAGTGGCGATGAATGACCAAGTGATGGTAATGACTCTGAAGTGACAATAGCTGTTAAGTGACGATTAACTATTTTGAGGTAGCGACAGATTAATGTGAGTGGAACTAACGTAAGGTGTCGATAAAGGTAAAAAAGATTTGTCAAAGGTAATATGCTCAGTCATATTCCCACACATAACAAGATAAATGTTGGTTATTCAAGTATTTAAGCAGACATGGGAGAGAGGACTGACCGTGTGTGGAGAGTGTACGGTTGTGTTGGGTGAGGTCCTCCTCGTGGGCCTGGTAGTCCGCCTGGATCCCCGCCTGGGTAGGGACCTGGGGCGCCGTCTGGCTCTGGTGGAGAGGGAACTCTTTCATCTGTCTCTGGTAAAAGGAGAAATGATCGTCCTGCCCCACATGTAAGGAGAACTCTTCCACTTTGCTATGGTGAAACAGAAGCTCCTCGTCTTCTTCCTGCTGACCCGATAGAAGCCTAGAAAACCCGCTATTTCCGGTTGGATGCAGGATAGCGGAATCTTCTTTCGGTACTCTGATCGCTTCGTTCTTCCGGACAGAGTTCCCGTTGGGCTGCTGGACGTTCCAAAGCTTAGCCTGGAGCTCCTCGTCATTGACGAAGAGGTTCCCACGGGTCGCTCGTTGCGACCTATTGACCGTAAAAGATAGAACAAAGACTAGCTAAAATTGTGCTCGATAGAGGTTATATTGACAAAAATTCCACAAAAGAAAAATTTGACTACACATATACATAATTTGATCAGACCAAATCAATATGAACTATCACAAACATAATGTTGTTCACCTTGGCTTATAAACCACTATTTTAATGAACTAATTAGAAAATATGATATGGCGAATATTTAATTATATTTGACACATTGTGTAATTTTTCCTAACACTGTTATGGAGGCTAATTCCTTATTAGAATTCTTTGCCCCCCCAAAAAAGGTTAATAAGAAAACTAGAGATTGTCTGTCTATCTGCCTCTGCCGGTTCGAGGTTGGAGGCCAGACGGCTGCGGTTAGCCTCATGCAATCTTCTTTGGTGAATTGTGATTGTATGGGTGGTGTCATAGGGTGGGGGGGGGGGGTCGACCCTTATGCCCGTCAATAGGATTGGATCCTATTATGATAAAAAACCCTCTTTGAACTCTGGAATTTGGGGTTGTCTATCGGGTATATTCCAACTAAATCCTCGAGCTATCGTCGTTGAATCAATGTGGAAATGTTGATTCAACATCGATAATGCTGATTAAACGTTAATACTGATAGCGTAAATTTTATTAACGATTAAAATTAAATATTAATAATGTTGATTCAACTTTAACATGTTTTGCCCTCTAGGAGAAATAACGCAAGGGAGAACGGAAGGGAGGATGAGATAACTGGTGGAAGGGAGAATAAGAAAATTGGAGGAAGGGAGGGAGAATTGGAGAATGGGAAGAAGGGAGGAAGATTGTGAGGGAGGGAGGGAGGGAGAATGGAAGGGGAGACTGAAGTAGGGAAGGGAAATGGAAAAGAGGGAGAGAGATTGACTGAGACCCGGGCTCCGTCGGGTAACCTCCATTTATAATTCCATATTGTAGTGTCTCTTGCTTAACATATTAATGAACGATTTATACAGGATTGAATAACATTAGCAGGTCTTCAGACGATATTAACATAGGAAAGGAAGAAATGTATTGAGAAGACTCAACATCGATACAAGACAATTTAGGTTGATTACGTTGTATGAATTATTAGTAGAGGCAGTCTAAAGCTGAATAATTTTCGGTTCTGAGTCAAGATAATGATAACAAATATCAGCTGGACAATGCTAAAATTATTATTATTATGCGAAAAAGATCTTAGACATGTATACAAGGAATCTTAGCCCCCCCCAAAAAAAAAAAATCCATGTATAAATATTCAAAATAATTCCAATATGATATTGCAAATCATTTTTAGAAGTGTTAACAATAAAATATCTCATGTTATTCATCAGGTTTACTTTTGCCTTCTTAGGCATCATTTAGTTTGTGAAATTGAGCTTCAGTCACTGTGCTCTGGAACAGACAAACTCATTGGAATGTTTACAGAAAAGGATGACAGAATTATTCTGAATAATAAGAAACTTCTCTGGTGAAAAGAGATTAAAAAAGCTATGTTTATATTTTGTAGAGAGGCGAAAATTATGATGAGGGGAGAGGAATGAATAAGTGTACAAATGGATATTAATAGGCTGATAAATAAGTAAACACAAATTGCAATACGAATAATATATACATATTTGATAATTACAGTTTCAGAAAAACTTGGTAAATGCTCATTGTAGAATATGATTGTAAATTTATAGAACAAACTAGCGGAAACATAATAAACGTGGGATTGCTGGATTGGTTCAAGTGTAGGTTAGACCTATAAATTAATGTTTCCAATTTTGTATATAAATGGGCGCTGCCTCACCTGGACTAATAGCCGTTCTACAGTTTTCTCTGTCCTTATGTTTTGAAGTCCAGCGTAAGTAACACCTTGACTACTCACATCTTAAGATAGACGCTGTCCGTAATGAAATCCTCTAAGCCTATCACCTCCTGGTCGCCACCTGGCCCAGTGTTCTGACAGGCGCAGCAGGAGGGCGCGGGCGTCACCCTGCAGGAGTTGTCGCCCTCCATGACCAGAGGCTCCTCCTCCTCCTCCTCCTCCTGCGTCGCCTCCACTTGCTCCTTGGGCGTTCTCTCTGGCACGGTCGACACGTCATCATCCCAGACGGTAACTAGGTTCTTGTCCACGTAGGCCCTTGCTGAGGAGGCACGGAGGCGTGTCAGTATGCACGGGTGTATGGATGTTATACACGTGTGTATATGGGTGCTAGTATACACGTGTGTATATGGGTGCTAGTATACACGTGTGTATATGGGTGCTAGTATACACGTGTGTATATGGGTGCTAGTATACACGTGTGTATATGGGTGCCAGTATACACGTGTGTATATGGGTGCTAGTATACACGTGTGTATATGGGTGCTAGTATACACGTGTGTATATGGGTGCTAGTATACACGTGTGTATATGGGTGCCAGTATACACGTGTGTATATGGGTGCTAGTATACACGTGTGTATATGAGTGCAAGTATACACGTGTATATATGGGTGCTAGTATACACGTGTGTATATGGGTGCCAGTATACACGTGTGTATATGGATGCTAGTATACACGTGTGTATATGGGTGCAAGTATACACGTGTATATATGGATGCTAGTATACACGTGTATATATGGGTGCAAGTATACACGTGTATATATGGATGCTAGTATACACGTGTGTATATGGATGCTAGTATACACGTGTGTATATGGGTGCCAGTATACACGTGTGTATATGGATGCTAGTATACACGTGTGTATATGGGTGCAAGTATACACGTGTATATATGGGTGCTAGTATACACGTGTGTATATGAGTGCAAGTATACACGTGTATATATGGGTGCTAGTATACACGTGTGTATATGGGTGCAAGTATACACGTGTGTATATGGGTGCTAGTATACACATGTGTATATGGGTGCAAGTATACACGTGTATATATGGGTGCTAGTATACACGTGTGTATATGAGTGCAAGTATACACGTGTGTATATGGCTGCTAGTATACACGTGTATATATGGATGCTAGTATACACGTGTGTATATGCACCCTGTCACTCAGAAACGATTCTAATAGTCAGCGAACGTACACATATAGACTGTTGCACGCAAAACAAGTTCACACTATATACTGTTAATTTTATAGAGGGCATGATAAGGAACGTAAAAGCCAACCTCAAACTTTCTTAGGCCTAGTATATATGTACTCATTTAGGCCTCAGATGGCGGATGTTAGACCCAGTATTGCTTATTTTGGTCTAGGAGAGGATAGGTTAGGTTGTGAAGTTGCTCTTCCACTTCTTTGGCTTGCTATTTGAAGTGTCCATAGCGTACAAAATGTGAACTTTTTTGGTCAGAACAGTGCATTTTTCTACGTACAACCAATAGTTGCTAAGTCCTATAATGTTTTAAGGATGGGTAGAAATAATAATGAAGACACACACGAGTGTATATGGGTGTCTGTATACATGAGTGTGTATAGTTACACGTGATGTATTGTTAAGGAAGTATGTATACAAGCTCATATACAGACATTCTAATTTTCTATCATCTCTGTCTCTTTAAATGTTGTAGCAAATAATTAATTACTGGTTATTCAAGCAGCAAATGGAAATTCTGTTTTGATTGAGACCTAGAAAGTAGGTGGGGGGCGGGGGGGGGGACCCCTACGCCAGACGTACTGTCCTGGTTACAGAAGTCGAGGTCCGGGGGTACGGTGTGGGTGTCTGGGAGACGGGTGAGCGTGACGAGGTAGTGGTCGATGACACCGTTGGGACGCCGGGGCGGCTCCCACCACACCTCCAGGCTGGAGCTGTTTGGTGATGTCCATCCCAGGTGCACTGGCTCTGTCGGGTCTGAAGAATTTGTCGTTTAATACAAACTACTCGTGAGATTAATTGAATAAATATACAAAACCGGGCAACCCATCATGTAGAAAATAATATGTTTGAGAGGCCTGTTCTGTTTCCATGCGTCATTGTTAAAGAGTTCAGGCCCCGGAGCCAAGGGAGCCCACCTACTGGGGCAACAAGGGTGGCCGAGCACTGGCTAGCACTAGTGTAGGAAGGGGTACGTCGTCCCAAGCGGTGCCCTCCTTTTTAACAGAGGGAGTCGTACTGCATCGTACATTCTTCGAAACCGGTGCAACGACCTCTTTTTCCCTATAGTCCCAGCCTGGATACGACTAACCTCCAAAGGCAGCCCATTTAGCGACCCTTCCAGCGGGTGGTCCGTAGGCCAGTAGCCTTACATCTGTTCAATTACACATGTACAACGCCCAGAGTGGGGTAGGGGGGGGCGAGTCAATCTCCGCCGAACCCTAGAGAGTCGTACATGAACACCCTTACCACGAAATCTGAAACAATTCAGGACCGGGGGGGGGGGGGGGCGTTGTGACTATTAATGTTCCCTTGACAGTCATCCTATGTCACTGGCACTGTTGTCGCCACAGTCATCAGCCGTCTCTAGCCAGGTGCTCACTACAGACAGCCTCCACCACTAGCAGAGTCCTCGCCACAGTCATTCTCCTTCACTAGCACAGTCCTCACGACGGACACTCTCAGTCTCTGGCACAGTACCAACACAGTCTTCACTGGAGTCCTCACCGCTGTCCTTCGTCACTACTACACTCCTCTCTGCAGTCATCCTCCGTCATAATCAAAGTATTCACCACAAACATCTTCCGCCATTAGCACTGTTCACACATGTCATCCTCCGTCAATATCACAGTCCTTACAACAGTCATCCTCCATCACAAGCACAGTCATCCTCCATCACAAGCACAGTCATCCTCCATCACAAGCACAGTCATCCTCCATCACAAGCACAGTCATCCTCCATCACAAGCACAATCATCCTCCATCACTGGCACAGTCATCCTCCATCACTGGCACAGTCATCCTCCATCACAAGCCCAATCATCCTCCATCACAAGCACAGTCATCCTCCATCACTGGCACAGTCATCCTCCATCACTAGTACAGTCATCCTCCATCACAAGCACAGTCATCCTCCATCACAAGCACAATCATCCTCCATCACAAGCACAGTCATCCTCCATCACTGGCACAGTCATCCTCCATCATAAGCACAGTCATCCTCCATCACTAGCACATTCATCCTCCATCACAAGCACAGTCATCTTCCATCACTTTCACAGTCATCCTCAATCACTGGCACAGTCATCCTCCATCACTGGCATAGTCATCCTCCATCACAAGCCCAATCATCCTCCATCACAAGCACAATCATCCTCCATCACTAGCACAATCATCCTCCATCACAAGCACAGTCATCCTCCATCACTGGCACAGTCATCCTCCATCACAAGCATAGTCATCCTCCATCACTAGCACAATCATCCTCCATCACAAGCACAGTCATCCTCCATCACTGGCACAGTCATCCTCCATCACTAGCACAGTCATCCTCCATCACAAGCATAGTCATCCTCCATCACAAGCCTAATCATCCTCCATCACTAGCACAATCATCCTCCATCACTGGCACAGTCATCCTCAATCACTGGCACAGTCATCCTCCATCATAAGCACAGTCATCCTCCATCACTAGCACAGTCATCCTCCATCACTGGCACAGTCATCCTCCATCACTAGCACAGTCATCCTCCATCACAAGCCTAATCATCCTCCATCACTAGCACAATCATCCTCCATCACTAGTACAGTCATCCTCCATCACTGGCACAGTCATCCTCCATCACTAGCACAGTCATCCTCCATCACTAGCACAATCATCCTCCATCACTGGCACAGTCATCTTCAATCACTGGCACAGTCATCCTCCATCACAAGCACAGTCATCCTCAATCACTGGCACAGTCATCCTCCATCATAAGCACAGTCATCCTCCATCACTAGCACAGTCATCCTCCATCACAAGCACAGTCATCCTCCATCACTGGCACAGTCATCCTCCATCATAAGCACAGTCATCCTCCATCACTAGCACAGTCATCCTCAATCACTGGCACAGTCATCCTCCATCACAAGCCCAATCATCCTCCATCACTAGCACATTCATCCTCCATCACAAGCACAGTCATCCTCCATCACTGGCACAGTCATCCTCCATCACAAGCACAGTCATCTTCCATCACTGGCACAGTCATCCTCAATCACTGGCACAGTCATCCTCCATCACAAGCCCAATCATCCTCCATCACTAGCACAATCATCCTCCATCACTAGCACAATCATCCTCCATCACAAGCACAGTCATCCTCCATCACTAGCACAGTCATCCTCCATCACTAGCACAATCATCCTCCATCACTGGCACAGTCATCCTCCATCACTAGCACAGTCATCCTCCATCACAAGCACAGTCATCCTCCATCACTGGCACAGTCATCCTCTATCACTAGCACAGTCATCCTCAATCACTGGCACAGTCATCCTCCATCACAAGCACAGTCATCCTCCATCACTGGCACAGTCATCCTCCATCACAAGCACAGTCATCCTCTATCACTGGCACAGTCATCCTCCATCACTGGCACAGTCATCCTCCATCACTGGCACAGTCATCGTGCCTCACTAGCACAGTCATCCTCCATCACTGGCACAGTCATCGTCCATCACTAGCACAGTCATCCTCCATCACTAGCACAGTCGTCTTCCATCACTAGCACAGTCATCCTCCATCACTGGCACAGTCATACTCCATCACAAGCACAGTCATCCTCTATCACTGGCACAGTCATCCTCCATCACTGGCACAGTCATCCTCCATCACAAGCACAGTCATCCTCCATCACTGGCACAGTCATCCTCCATCACTGGCACAGTCATACTCCATCACAAGCTCAGTCATCCATGAACTGTGTGTAATAGACTCCTCTAACACACTTTGGGTGGAGCTGAGTCCCTGTAAGAACCAGTTCATGAGGGCGGATGTTTGCTGCATAAGTGAGACGAACTGAGTCACCAGGAATGATGAAGTTATTGGTATTGACGAAGGCAGAGAGTAGGTCTAAAGCCAAAGAGACAGTAGGAATTACTACGAAGGAAACTAGGCCAAAAATAAATAAATGTTGTGAAGGAAAAGAGGAAGATGGTGTCCAAGGGGGACAGAAGGAATTGCGTTTAACCTGATGAACATACAAGTTTGACCTTATGAAGAGTGTCAGGTGTGCAGCTCAACATGAAGATAAAAGATGGCTCGTGGTTTCCGTGCACATTCTAAACTTTGAAGAAAAAAACGGATAATAAGGGTTCTGGACGGCAGAAAGATACACAGCCAGTAATACATGAAAACCAGACTTACTGTAGGGACTGGTAATGGCATAGAGGACATCGGACTGGGCGCCCTTGGTACTAGTACCCAGGGAGTACACCTTGACGTAGACAGCGTAGCGGGTATATGGCTCCAGGCTGACGATGGTGCCAGTCCCTGCACCCATTTCCATCGTCGACCACCTACAGAGGACCAGAACAAGGAGGGGAAATGATATGAGTTAACATAGACACTAGAGTTTTACTGTTATATTTTCTGTTGCCTGTTGCTTTAGGGAGGCCTGACGGCTGAGTGAAAAGCTCTCGGGATTCGTAGTCCTAAGGTTCCAGGTTCGACCCCCCGACGGAAACAAATGGACATAATTTCTTACACCCTGATGCCCCTGTTTACCTAGCAGTAAATAGGTACCTGGGAGTTATACAGCTGCTTCATGCTGCTTCCTGGGAATATGTAACAAAAAGGGGCCGGGCCGCGGGGACGCTAAGCCCCGAAATCATCTCAAGATAACCTCAAGAAGATTGCTTGCCGTGTTGGGTTGTGTGATATATCTATATAAATAAAATGTAAATGTTCGTTTGTCTCCGAAAGTTTTTCACCTATTGCTATGAAATATTGACACAACGTTCCATGCACATACGAGCGTGTTTTTATGTACCAACTATATAGATGTCACGTCTGTGACAGGTAAAAACATGTTTTTTTTAAACTGCTCTCTATGTGTTTTCATGTGAGGGAAATCTCCGAAACCTCCATGTTTCGATAATGAACGATATGTTTACCATATAGTTCATTTCGTGAGTATAACTTATTTTTTATTTTCTCTTTTTTTTTCATTTCGTTATTCAACTGTTTTTCTTATTTTTCAGTGACGGGTACATCAGATCATTTGATGTTCCCATTTTTCTGATAGGGACATCAGATTATTTGGAAACGCATTGGACGAGGGAGTGGGGAATGGTGGGAGAGGACGAGTGGACGGGGGAGTGGGGGATGGTGTAGAGGACATGGGGACGGGGGAGTGGGGGATGGTGTAGAGGACAGGGGGATGGGGGAGATGAGAATAGTGGGGAGGACAAGGGGACAGGCGAGTGGGGGACGGTGGGGAGGATGAGGGGATGTAGGAGTGGGGAATGGTGGGGGAGGACGAGGGGATGTGGGAGGGGGAGTGGTGGGGAGGACTAGGGGATGGGAAAGGGGGGAATGGTGGGGAGGACGGGGGGGGGGATCATAGGAGGGTTGCTGTGGCTCAGCAACCCATGTATTGCTGAGCCACAGCAACGCGTGACTGGGTACAGCTAGTTATGAATAAAGAGTAAAGTTGCACATACTATTTGTGGTAAGCGTGTCATTATTCGGCTGGTAGAGGTAACGGGAAGAACAGTAACTGCTTTATTGTCATTTAAGGTTGGGTTGATGACACCGATGAGGGGAAGTGAACGAGTATTATCTAGAAAGAGAGCTGTGATTGGCGCGAGGTATAGTGCACCTTATGTACATAATATGTGAAGGAACACGTGCAGGAAATACCAAAAAGACATGTAATTCGTAGTTTTACGTCATCAGGAAATAATGCATCAAGAAAACAAGCATGACATTTTCTGGAGCATCATGATCAACGAAAATTATATTAAGAATACACATCAGTGGTGTGTTAAAGCACATGACCGCATACGCACATAACCTGGGGGAGTTACACCAAGACTATATGTACGTGATGTGTTGAGGCGCAGGACCTGGAAACACTTCTCCAAGACCATACAATGTTGCTGTACAAAATTGCCACAAGAAAGTAATGAATATTGACGTTTGATTTACGAACAGAATATCTGATTCAAACAATATAAATATAATATTGCTGCATGATATATAGAGCTGAAACCTCTTCAGACCTAACGAACAGACTGGGATAAAAAAAATCTATTTGGAGCTTATTTTGTTCACACCCGTTGAGTGCAAAGTAATTTTGTGAGCATTTTATGGAGCAGATTATGGAATGAAGTATTTGTGAACTGAATAACTGCTTAAATTGATTACAATAATCTAGACTAAAGAAACACGTGAGATTATACTATTTTTTATATACGAGATTTCCTTGACTTTCCTTGACTCTATAAAAACAAATACATTTAATAAAGTGAAGTAAATTTGCTGACGAGGGGGGGAGGGGGGGGGGGAGGGGGGGGGGGGGGGAGGTCAGTGCAGGTAAAAATAGTAAATATAAAATCAGTCAGTTCAATAGTGTTGAAATGTTTGATAGCAACATACTCTGTTTGTTGCTATCATAAAACATATCTCCTAATGCTTCCTTCACTGATGATGAGTTTATCATCCCTTAGATTCATAAAGTGTTGCTCATAGTTCCTGAGTGTGAGACAAGCGTTGATTGCTTTTTTGCAGAGCCACATGTATATTTTTTGTCACAAATCCTTTGCCACAACTGTTATATGGTATAGTGTAAGCCCGAGCTGTGGTGATCTCTCTATTCTATGACCAGACCCCATCAGGTGAGGGTTTTGATTGTTGTAGATGTTGTACAGTACACAAGCCCTACAGTGGCCTTATGGTAGGTGTTGGTTATGTTGTCTGACTTGTCGGGTGGAAGTACTGTCCAGTGTCAGTAATACCATCCTTATGTCTTTCCACTGAGGTTTTCTTCGGGCTCTGCCAAAATCAACAAACTGAAGGATGAAGTACATTTACTAACGGATTGCAGATGACATTATAAGGATGAGCAGACATCAGCGTAGAAAGACTGAATCCCGACAGAGCAAAAACTATATAAGCTTGGAGGTCAAGCAGGACAAAGGCCTTCCGGTGAATGAATGTAGTAAGAAAACAAAGGGTCGTGCTAAATGGGAACGTATCTGAATGGAGAAATGTGATAAGCTGGGTACTACAGGGGTCCATTTTAGGGCCTAAGTTTCTTATCATATACATTATTGACATAGATGAGAATATTACGAACCACATCATCAAATTTGCAGATGACACAAAGATTTACGGTAAAGTGGGAAATGGTAATGATATTGAAGCCTTACAAAGAGATCTGCAGGAACTCCACAAATGGTCAGAAGACTGGCAAATGTGTTTTATTATTGACAAATGCAAGACTATGCACGTGGGGCATAGCGACCCACGCCACAACTACCAACTTAATAACATTACATTACATCAGATTGATCAAGAATAGAATCTTGGAGTCAAAATCCACCACTCACTGAAAGTTGCACAACAGGTAGGAGCAGCAGTCAGAAAAGCTAACCAAACCCTCAGAATAATCAAGCGTACTTTCGATTTTAAGGAAAAGAAGTAAATTATTCAACTGTATAAATCTCTGGTGCGCCCCCATTTGGATTACTGTATCCAAACATGACGATCGCATTTCCAGAGAAACACAGCTGCTCTGGAGAAAGTGCAACACCGGGCAACAAAAGTCATTTCAGAGCTAAGGCATCTCCTGTATCAGGTATGGCTGAGAGTAACAGGGCTAACAACGAGCATGTAAACCAGGCATGACAGGACGGATCTCATTCAAACTTTTAAAATACCGAACAAGTTAGAGGATGTTGATCCAGACAATTTCTTCAGAAGGTCAGATGTAACACAAACAAGGAGCAACGGTTTCAAGCTCAACAATCCACAATGTAGGACTGAGAACAGGAGATGCTCTCTCACCCACAGGGATATAATCTATATAAATAAAAATGGAAATGTTCGTTAGTTCAAAATCGCTAATCTCCGAAAGTTCTTCACCGATTACTTTGAAATTTTCACACAACATTCCATTCGTATTCGAGCGGGGTTTTATATATATACTATATAGCTGTCACGTCTGTGACGGGGGAAAAAACATGCTTTTTTAGAAAAACTTTTTTTTTCAAGTATTTTTCATGTGAGGGAAATCTTCGAAACCTCTTTACCGATTTCTTTGAAATTTTGACACAACGTTGAATTCGAATAGGTGCATGTTTTTATATACCTACTATATACATGCCTCACCTGAGACAGGAAAAAACATGTTTTTTTGAAAAACAGGGCACTCTGTTGGACGTAAGAGTAACACTTACTGTAATCTCCGAAAGTTCTTCACCGAATGCTTTGAAATTTTGACACAACGTTCCATTCGAATACATGCATGATTTTATATACCTACTATATAGATTCCACACCTGTGACCGGTAAAATCATGCTTTTTTTTTAAACAGCGCCATCTGTTGCACGTAATAGCAAAACTTGCTATGCATTTTTAAAACTTGTTATGCAAAATATGTTATGATTCCGTTTCAATTATTTCTGATTGCATTGACAAATTGAATTTTCATAGATTGATTTATTTTCATTTTGATTTAATTATTTTGTGTGACATTGTGTTGGAATTGAGCTGTGTTGTTTACCATTCCGTTCATTTTGTGAGTATAGGTATATATGCCACACCTGTGGCAGGTAAAAACATTCTTATTTTAAGACACAGCGCCATCTGTTATAGGTAAGAGCAACACACTGCTATACTAAATATGTTACGATTCTATTTCAAAGTTTCCGATTTCATTGATAAATAGAATTTGTGTAGATTTCGATTTATTTTAATTTTGATTTAATTATATAACACAGCTCAACTCCATTGCATTGGAACTGAGCTGTGTTAATTACCATATCGTTCATTCCGTGAGAATAGTTTATTTTAATTTTTTTCATTGTGTTTCTTTTTATTTTCGTTTTTTAACTGTTTTTCTTATATTTCAGTGATGGGAACATCAGATCATTTGATGTTCTCAATTTTCTGATGGGAACATCACATCATTTGGAAATGCATCGGGAGAGGGGAATGGTGGGGAGGATGAGGGGACGGAGCAGTTGGGGATGGTGGGGACGAGGGGGGGAGGGGAGTGGAGAATGGTGGGGAGGACAAACTGACAGGGGAGTGGCGGATGGTGGGGAGGATAAGGGGACGGGGGAGTGGGAGATGGTAGGGAGGATAAAGGGACTGGGGAGGTAGAGATTGGTGGGGGAGGACGAGGGGACGGGGTGCGGGGAATGGTGGGGAGGACTAGGAGATAGGGAAAGGTTGCTGTGGCTCCGCTGAGCCACAGCAACGCGTGGCCAGGTACAGCTATAGTGTATATTATAAATACTGTAAATGCTTCTCCCACGTTCTACAAATACAAATAATCGCCAATAGAAC